ACTCACAGTGTGCCCAAGTCCCAGAAAAATGCACCCGTTTCAATGCCATTTACCAGCTTCTTCACTTCTTGGTCGACAGAGACTTTCTTAGTCCCCAGACAATGGAGTACCAGGTGCCATCTCTCAAATACAGCCTGCTCTTTTTGCCTACAAGGAAAGGTGCATCTATGATGGGGATCTACTTAGACAATCTTGAATCCTGGGATCTGTTTGATAACTATACATCTATCACTGGAATGGACCTGGGCCTTAAGCAGAAACTATTCCAGCACTACCTTTTACTGGATACTAAGTATCCAGTCCTGGCAATATTAGCTATTTTTCTAAGCATTTCTTTTTATTTACGCTCAGTCTTTATTACCTTGATGGTCCTGCTCGCTGTTGTCAGTTCTTTAATGATCTCCTACTTCTTGTACAAGGTGGCCTTCAGATTCACCTATTTCCCTTTTGTAAACCTGACAGCAGTCGTCATTCTCAGCAGCCTCTGTGCCAACCACACCTTTGTCTTCTTCGACCTCTGGAACCTCAGCAAGAGCCAGAACCCTTCCGCTGGGCTCTCTCAGTGGGTGAGTCAAACCATGCACCATTTTGCATATCTCATGCTGGCATCTTGCTTCACAACGGGTGCGGCCTTCTATGCCAGCTACATTAGCAATATAATAGCCATCCGCTGCTTCGCTGTTTACATGGGCACCTCCGTGCTGGTGAATCTGGTGTTCATGATGACATGGCTTCCTTCTTCGGCTGTGCTGTATGAGCGCTACATAGCAACAACCTGCATTTACAAGCCAGAAGACTACTGGAACAACACTGGCCATAAGAGAGTCTCTCTCTCCCTCCACTACATTCTCAGGGGTCTCCAGAACACGCTGTCTGAAACCTCCAAGCTGCTATTTGAAAAGCTTCTGCCGTGTGGGGTCATCAAGTTTCGGTACATCTGGATCTGCTGGTTTGCTGCCTTAGCAATAGGAGGTGCCTACATTTCCTGTTCCAACCCCAAACTCAAACTCCCAACTCTCGAGACGTCGTCTGTCCAGGTGTTTAGACTGAGCCACCCCTTTGAGAGGTACGATTCCGAGTACTGCCACCAGTTCATGTTTGAGAGGCTGGAGCACGGAGAAGGGCAGCGCATGCCTGTCACAATAGTCTGGGGCATTCTGCCTGTGGATAATGGGGACCATTTCAACCCAAAAAGCAACGGCACCCTAGTGACAGACGTCACCTTCACAATCCAAAACCCTGATGCCCAGAAGTGGCTCCTCGAGTTCTGCCAAAAAGTGAAGAACAAAACTTTCTATTACCCTGATGCAGAGCAGAAGTCTACTGTGTGCTTCATGGAGGAGTTCCTCAGGTGGATGGACAGTCGCCAGTGCTCCCAGCGAGACCACAGCTTCAACCTTTGCTGTAACCAGTTCTCCTTCCCTTACGGAAGTGAAGTCTTCCTACACTGCATCAAAATGATGCTGCTGGAACAGGGCAGGGAAGGGGCAGAAACATACGATCTGGGCCTCAGGTTTGATGGGGAGGGAAATCTCGCTGCCTTAGTTCTACAGTTTCAGACTATTTATCACTATAGCTTCAACTACAGCAAAGCCAAACAATTCTATGAGGAAATCAACCTCTGGGTAACAGAGGAGATGAAAACTGCCCCCATGGGGCTTCAGAATGGATGGTTTACGAGTAAACTAGAGCTATACAACCTCCAGCACAGTCTCAGCACAGAAACAATGGTAGTCATGGGTCTCTCCATAGCCGTTTCCTTTGTGGTTCTGCTGCTCACTACATGGAATGTTCTCCTTAGCGTTTTCTCTGTTACTGCCATCGCAGGCACTGTCCTGGTAACCATTGGCCTTTTGGTCCTCTTGGAGTGGCAGCTCAATGCAGTGGAGTCTCTCTTCATTTCAGCTGCAGTAGGTCTCTCCGTTGACTTTACCGTCAACTACTGCATCTCCTATCATCTGTGCCCCCACTCTGACCGCCTGAGCCGAGTGGCCTTTTCCCTGAAACAGATGAGCTGTGCCACAGCCATGGCAGCTTCTGCTCTCTTCTCTGCAGGGGTCATTATGTTGCCTGCAACAGTCCTGGCGTATAGGAAGTTGGGGATATTCATAATGATGATCAAGTGCATCAGCTGTGGGTTTGCCAGCTTCTTCTTCCAGTCGCTGTGCTGCTTCTTTGGCCCAGAGAAGAACTGTGGGCAGATCCTCTGGCCTTGTGCCCACACCATGAAAGACTACTATGATGACTCCGGGCTGAACGGAAGCTTTGCCTGTGGGGGGAGCGAGAAGCAAAACCGGCTGCGGAAGGTCCAGGAGTCCAACACTGCAAATGAGCAATATGAGCTCCAGCCCTTGTCCAGAAAACTGAGCGACAGCTTTGACAACAGCACTTCCACAAGCAAGCTGTCCAACCGGCCGTCAGTGCTCTCTGAAGACACGCAAGTGGAAGACAACAGATGCCCCAGAATGGGAATGCACCCCTCCCTTGAAAGGGAGAGACAGAACCTGCAGGAGACCCTTGGAGACCAGCAGGTTGGCCTGTGCCAGTGTCCTGCCTTGCAAACTTCCTCTCCTTACAAGCACAGCAGCTCAGAAGCAGAAATCCACAAGGAGAGACTCTGCCGAGATTGTCGATGTCGAAAGTATGGTCTGAAAGCTTGGGATGGGTCTGGACTGGACCATATCCAGCCGGCTGGCATGAAAGAAGAAGGGCAACTCAATAAATCACAGTGCTCTAGTGACACTGTCCAGCAGCAGTCAGATTATACCTCAGACAACAGCCATCTCCCTGCCGCTGACATCTACAAAATTCACAGATGCCTTTGTTCTCTTGGCAGCTCTTTTGACATGCTCAACATTTCCAGTGAGACGTCGATTAGTGATTTTGAGCAAGGCCTAAAGCTTGCTGAATCAGCCAGTTCTTGTCCTGATGTCTTAGAGCTGTCTGATTCGTACAGTCAAACAGAGAGAGGTTACTTGAATGGGAAGAGAGATACCCTGCGGCTGGACCTGAGGGAGACTGTCTTTGATATCTCTCCAGCAGCATCACAGCAGAACAGCTCTTCATGGAAAAATCGATTTGGATTAGGGAGCGAAGATCCAGTTGTGCTACCGAACAGCCAACCAGACATGCCTGATGTTTGGATCAAACGATCTAGCGCACAAAGTTCGGCTTACAACAGTTGAAACCTTGCAGAAAACAAAACTGTACTGCTAGTGAAAGGAGAAAGCGAAATCTCCTTGGAACTGTAAATATCAATTTTTTCCTCCCACCTCTCCTAGAGCTGAGACTATTTCTTAGTATTTCAGCTGTGCAAACACCTGTGTTTCCACAGAACCAGCAAATCCGATACTAGTGAGAGGATGCAAGATCAATCTTGATGGCGTACAAGCCCTTTGACCTTCCAGTGTCTGGTGCCATATTCACAGCTGTAACACAAAATTTATCAAAACCTGTTTTGTCATTTCTTACAAGGTGATTAGATTTTGTTTTCTTGTCAAGGTCACATAGGAGAGAAATAACAACGTGAATCTGCACAGATATTTAACAATGGAGAAAGAGAGCTCATTAAAAAAAAAATATCCAAAACCTGAACCCGCAACTGCTGAAAATCTAGATATCAAGTGAAGAGAGTATTGTTAATAGAAAAAGAAAGTCTTGCATTTTCTACTGAATCAGAAACTGCTTTTATGTGAAGTCCAGGTTCACAGATCTCATCAAAAGAGTTCAGATATTATAAAAATCTGAGTTGATACGGTCTCTTAATGATCATGGAGGAAGGAGGCTGCAGAATCCAGCCTGATCTGTTTTCAGTAACAATTTCCATTTGTTTTATCAGAAGAAATTCTAGTACTGCCAAAGATTTTCAGTGTGAGATTTCCCCTCTGAGAAAAGTGTCCTCATCCCCTCAGTGACTCGGGTGCTTTGTGTGTCATCTTCATAGCTGTTTCCACTCAAGGCATTCGCCATAAACATGTAACTTTTTAAAATTTGCATATCTGGTGAATCTTGAATTTTACATCTTTTTTCCTCTACCAGAAACAAGAAAACAAACACTTCCTTGCCTTTATCTGTTGAAAAAGAGAAAACATTCTCGATACAAGTTGACGTAAAATAAATGCTTATGACAAACTTTCCTAAATCTGAGTGGTTTAATTTTCACCGAAAACACTGTGGTTCATTTTCTTCATCTTTTAAGTGCCTAACATATTTTCCAATATAACCAGCAAAAGGAAAGTATACATCTTAAAAAGATTCGCTCCTTCCGACACCCACAAATTGTTTTCTCTGTTCTGTGGGAGACAGGCCACAACTGCCCGATGTCAGTTAGCAATACGCTCTTTTAAAGCTGGTAACAACACTTTAAGTGTACAACGTATTTCAGGTTTGTGTTTCCATAGTGCAGTTCTGGTACTGGGTGCTCAGGAGGGTGTTTTGGCAAGCAGAGCTGCCCTCGGGCTGTGAGCAACACTGCTTGAAACCCTCTCCACACAGGAGCCATTACTATCTGGGGGCACTTCTCACCCGTTTTGAAAACTGTTGGAAAACACTGCAAAACCATCTAATTACACTGGGAAACATTCCATACAGATGCCTCCTTTCCCCTTACCGTGTGGGAGGGCGATTTTAACCGCCTCAAACACAAGCGGCAGCACCAACACCCTGATGGCACAGGAGGGAGGATTCCACAGCCCGCCAAGTTCTCCATGAAGGCCCTGAGCGCCCAACCGAGGGGGCGAGGCAGCGGGAGGCAGGGAAGGCCCCTCCCCGCCGGCGGCGGGCTCCCCTGAGGGCAGCTACGAGGGGGAGCAGTGTCTCCCCGCCTGGGGATCCCACCAAGCCCACGGCGCCTTCCCCGAGGGAAGGGGCGAAAGGGCGGGAAACGGCGCGCACGCGCACACCCACCTGTCTCTTAT